GCTACCACTTGCATTGGCGCATTGATACTGGCAATCGACACCCTGTCGCGGGCACTGAGTTGCTCCATGGCTGAAGTAACCTCGTCTACGGCGGCTTCAAGTGCCACCATACCACCATTTTCAGGCAGCGCATGCATCAACTTCCCTCGTGCCGCGACCAAGCGGCAAGCGTCCGCCAGATCTATAACTCCGGCGACGTGCGCAGCCGCAATCTCGCCAACACTATGGCCCAACACAACTGCTGGCTGGACACCCCAGCTCTGCCATAGTCTCCATAGTGCTACCTGGAGGGTAAAGATAGCTGGTTGGGCATAATCCGTACGCAGGAGCAAGGAAGCGGCCTCGCTCGCCGGATCTGCCCACATAACATCCAACAGAGGCTTGTCTAGAATTTCCTCGAACAGGCTTGCGATGTGAGTGATGGTGTTGCGGAACACAAGGTGACGTTCAGCAAGACCCTTGCCCATCATGTGTCGTTCAGTGCCCTGTCCGGAAAACAACATCGCCACGCGAGCTGACTTGCTGTTGTCAGCAGTTGCCGGTACTCCGTTGTCGATAATGCTTGCTAGGCTGCCCAGCAGTTCGGTCTTGTCTTGTGCCGCAAGAACGATGCGTCGTGGGAAATGTGTGCGAGTAGTCGCCAATGAGTACGATACATCAGACAGCTTGATTTTTGCAGTGGCCCTGGAGATGTGATTGCAAAGTTTGCGTGCTTGCCCACGTAGCGCTTCACTTGTAAAGGCGGAGAGGAGAAATGGCAGCGGCAAAGGCGACCTCGCATCATCATCATTATTGTCGCCATTAGCGTTTGAGTGAGCCCTTGGAGGCTCTTCAACTATAGCATGCGCGTTAGTGCCTGATAATCCGAATGAGTTAATTCCTGCTCGTCGCGGAGCATTCGGGCTGTTTGTCCTGGGTAGCCATGCCATTGGGCGTTGGAGCAGTTGCAACTTGCCACCCAGCCAGTCGATCAATGGGCTGGGCTGACTGCTATGCAGTGTCTGTGGCAGCGTGTTGTGTTGCATCGCCAGGGCCACTTTGATGAGGCCTGCGACGCCGGCGGCCGCCTGCGTGTGTGCGATATTGGACTTTGAGGAACCAATCCTCAGCGGCCCGGTGGCATCATCGCGGCTACTGCTGAATACTTCCGCCAAAGCTGACGCCTCGACCGGGTCTCCTAGTTTGGTGCCAGTCCCATGCGCCTCGACATAGTCAATATCGTACGGCTTCAGGCGCGCAGCCGCCAGAGCTGCGCGGACAACACGCTTCTGGCCTGGTCCACTTGGTGCTGTCATGCTAGCGCCACGGCCGCCGTGGTTGACTGCCGAACCGCGGATTATAGCATGGATATGATCATTGTCACGCTGCGCATCCGAGAGACGTTTCAAAACCACAGCCGAGGCACCTTCACCCAGTCCCATCCCAGCCGCATTCGCTGAGAATGGTCGCGAGCGACCATCTGGTGATGTGACGCGAAGCCGACTAAACTCTACATGTAGACCAGGTGAGGGCAAGAATGTGACACCACCGGCCACAGCCATGTTACACTCGCCCTGACGAAGTGCGGAGCATGCCACATGCGTGGCGACCAGTGAGGCAGCGCACCCAGCATCCAAGGTCATCGTAGGACCCTCGAGCCCCAGAGCATATGCTACGCGACCAGAGAGCGAGCTCGGCGCCGTGCCGAGACCTAGATGTCCTTCAAGCTTTTCTGTGCCGGCAGCGCTTAGCTGACCGTCATCCACAGAACTGTTACCGGTCCCGATGAAGACACCAGTCTGGCTGCCACGCAGGGACTTGGTGCCATAGCCTGCCCGTTCGAAGCCCTCCCAGCATGTCTCCAGGATCATGGTCTGCGCAGGGTCGATAGCCCGAGCCTCGCGAGGGGAGATCCCAAAAAATTGCGCATCGAACTCCATGGCATCCCTGACGAAGCCACCACCCGTGCTGTAGGACTTGCCGGGGGCCTCCGGGTCGGGGTCGTAGATGGCATCGGCATCCCAACGCTCCTCAGGAACCTTGGTGACGGCGTCGGTGCCGCTAATGAGAACATTCCAAAACTCTTCTGGCGTGTGAATATCGCCGGGCAGCCTGCACGCCATTGAGATGACAGCAATATCTTCAGCAGTGGCATCGTTCCCAACAGACTTCTTCGTCTCTTCGGTGACCCCATTGGTCTGGGGTTCTTCAGAAAGATATGCAGCAAGGCTGGCAATAGTGAAATGCTCATACAGTTTTGGCACCGGCACTGGCCGACACAGAAACTTCTCCAACTTGGCTTGGACCTGGGTGATGCTAGCAGAGTTGCCGCCAATGTGGAAGAAGTTGTCCTGCATGCCAATCTGACTGTGGCCCAGTACATTGGTCCAGATAGCCAGCAGCTGTTGTGTCAGTGTGGAAGCGGGCTTTTGCGCCGGTGTGATAGTCGAGATGGGATCGGGTAGTGCTCTGAGATCCACTTTGCCGTTGAGGGTGGAAGGAAATCGATCGACTTCGACGAAAAATGAGGGGACCATGTATCTGGGGAGGCGGCTTTCTAGCCAGGGGCGTAGCAACTTGGCTAGAGGAACATCTACGCTGCCAACACCCGACTTTCGTATACAATATGCGACGAGCTGCTCGTCTCGATTGACGACAACGGCATTGGCAATAGCTCCGTGAGCTGTGATGGACGCCTCAACATCACCAGGGTCAATTCTTTGCCCGCGAATCTTGATTTGCGTGTCTACCCGACCGATGACGGCCAGTCTCTTGGGGTCCAAGAAGCATGCCAAATCTCCAGACTTGTACATGGTATGGCCTTCCCAGAAAGGGTCCGGAAGAAAAGCAGCCTTGGTGCGTTCTGGATTGTTTCGATATCCACGAGCAACTCCTGCTCCGCTAATATACAGTTCGCCAGTGCTTCCAACCGGCACAGGTTGCATGTCGGTGTCGAGGACATATAGCCGTGTGTTTGGGTTAGGCGTTCCAATTAAGATGTCCTCGCGGACTTGGACTTTCCAAGCAGCCACGCTGGCTGTTGTCTCAGTCGGGCCGTATAGGTTCCATACTTCGTCAACACACGCGGTTAGACGCTCTGCCAGGCGAGGTGACAGTGCCTCGCCGCCGGTAACCAGTCTCGAGAAGCCTGGCGTGCCAGACCAACCGCTGTCCAGCAGCATCTGTAAGATGGTCGGCGTCGCGACGGAGAAGGTGACGCTGTGGCGATCAAGGAGATATATCAGCGCGCGGGGATCGCCGATCTCGTGTGCCTGTGCCTGCACGACCGTGGCGCCGCACAGCAATGGCACGTAAATCTCAAACGCGGCCATGTCAAAGGAAATTGTGCTCTTGAATAACACGCGGTCCTGGCCAGTACAGCCAGGTCTTTGGTGTACCGACAACGCATAGTTGCATATAGCGGCGTGATGAATTTCTACGCCCTTGGGCTTGCCCGTAGAGCCGGATGTGTAAAGGATATAGGCAATGTCGTCTGCTTGGATATCCACAGCTGGCTTCTTGTCCGCTTGATATCTCATCTGGTCTCGCAGTTCGCTTGTCGTGCAGCAGGCCGCCTTATGACCATAATCATATCGACTGGTGCCCGTCCCCCCTTTGGTACTAGCAGGACTAACTATCACCAGGCGTAGCGCCTCATCATCCAGCATCTGGTTGACACGCTCGGGGGGTAAAGCAGGATCAACGGGTACATATATCGCACCGGCTTTCAAGACACCGAGAATGAACATGATCAGGTCCGGTGTGCGGTCTAGTGCAAGAGCCACCACATGGCCACGGCTGATGCCTCGCGATAGAAGGAGGCAGGCCAGGCCATCCGACTCAGATGCAAGAGCACCGTATGTGATGGTATGGTCCCCGCAGACTATCGCGGGCTTTGGGGAGTATCGTGTCTGAATCTGATTAAAGAGGGAAACGACATTGTGACCAAGCTTAGATGGGTCGTCGGTAAGGTTGAAGTCGTTTTCTGGTATCATGGCTGTTGTTTCTTCCTGAGTCTTCTCTATTCTCTTCTGAACAAATTTTGGGGGAGGAAAGGACCACAGCAGCAGGTAAAACTCCAAGAATGAGAACAAAGAAGGAGTTACGATATATCGAATTCGGCCGTTAAGGTATACTGTCTAATACTAAGGCAAGAATGGGTGGCACCACACTCACCAGGCCTGTATATCACAAGCTGGTATTATACTGCTATCAAAGTGGAACTTGCGGTGTGTGCATGCGATATCTCTTCCCTGCGCATTCTAATACGCGTCATTCCCATGGATTCGTGAACTGGCCACACTGTCATACCGGAAACCTTTCACTGCCCAGTTAATGATGTCGTGATCACTGGATATCTAGACACAGCTGAGTCAATTCCTGCTCAGCAGTAGGAGTCAATCATTGTCTAGATTGCTAAAGTTGCATAGCTGACGGATAGAATTCAAGCAAGGGGCTCTACTGCCTATCACGGACTACTGGAGAGACATACAACTACTGTAAGGGTTATCAGTTCGGCGCCTCAGCAAGTGACAATAATATGGCTTCTATATAACAAATGAGACCGTTTTCCAGCAAGGAATTCCCATGGAGTGGTCTACCATGGGCCGAAGAGCCATCAAATAAAGCGCTCATAGGAAACAATATAGGCAAGGGAGGGGGGAATGACAGAAAGATAAGACGGTGAACATTCCTGTCAGACAGTACGTATACTCACGATAGACAACATGATAGAATAGAATGGAAAGTCAAAGCTGTTCGAGTGCTGTCATTCGATGGATAAGACATGACCTGCGCAAGCGGGTGAGACTGTATGACAGTCTAGATTTGACGTTTTCGCAGGAACGCTTGGGTGGTGTTATGGCATCCAGCCCTGCGACATTCTTTTCATTACCACCAGGGGCGCCCATCTCCCTCCCATAGTTATCTTGTTGCCCTCAATTCCAAGTGGAAGTTTTGAACAAAAGAAAAGAAGAGGGATACACAAACACACTCACTCTCACGTCCACCCCAAATCAGCCATGACAGCTTCATCAAAGAACCCTTCAGCCTTGGAAGAAGGTATTGCACTCTATACTCCCTTTCTTCTCCGCTACTTCTACGATTTCTGGGTTCTATGGGTTTCCAACAACTTTGCATGGAAATGCCCAACCTCAACCGTTCAACTCCCATTGTTTAATGCCGCCATGGGCCAGAGCCACCTAGACATTGGCGTCGGAACAGGTTATTATCCAGCAAAGAGCCTAAAGGCCGGTGCCAAATGCACTGAGATCACCCTCCTAGACCTCAGTCCCAACTCGCTCCAGGCTGCCGAGAAGCGTATCCTGGAGACGGTAGGCCGTGAGGCGGTGCGCGTGAATACCGTCGTGGCCTCGGCCCTGGAGCCACTGCCCTTCGACAAGACCAAGAAATTCAACTCGATTAGTGTCTTCTTCTTGTTGCATTGCATTCCGGGAACACCTGAAGAGAAGTGCAAGTTGTTCGACGTGGTGCGGCCGCATCTGGCGGAGGACGGCGTTCTTGTGGGGACGACGGTCCTTGGTCAGGGTGTACCAATCAACTGGCTGGGGCAGAAGATGATGAACAGCTATAACAACAACACAAAGTCTTTCCATAATTCGGAGGACAACAAGGCTCAGTTTGATGAGGGACTTCGTCAAAATTTTGAGGAGGTGGAGTCATGGGTTATGGGTCAGGTTATGCTCTTCAAGGCGAGAAAGCCAAGACAACAGGATGATGTTACCAATGTTGTTCCGAAAGGGGACTTGGATTGATGGGGATCATCATGAAGCTGTCGAGTTAGTTAGTTTGTTGAATAACTAAAGGAGGAGGGAGGGGGAATGGCAGTCCAATAAATCGGATATCGAAGTCATTCTGCATTTAAGATGTTACTAGTTTATTATGACCTGCAATCCAGCTATTATTGCATTACAGGCTGAGCACAATGACACCTTCTGAAGTAGAGGCAGTATTCTATAGACGGTAGACAATTGCACGTGCAAAGGGCATTCATAAGCCAGCCCTTATCGGAATCACGTGAGAGATAAGTAGTGGCGCGGCGCGTATCGCCAAAACGCGCCGGTGGATAATTGAATAGTTTCATCAATAGATTGATCAGGGCAGGCAAGTGCTGCATCTCCAATTTACCCTGGATTCACGTATATGTACCTTTCCAGACATCGCGCGTCGACCCCAGGTATCCTCCGCCAATTCCTTTCAAATGGTCCAATTATAAAATCGCCAACGGCCTCTACTAGATACTCCGCATCGCGAACTTCGCCGGTTGGAGAGGAAGCTGTGATGTTCAAGAAAGCCGTCAAGGAACATTCAGTAGCGTCAGCGACTCCGCTACAATCCACGCTTACGCGCAGCAACAATGGGAATGCTTCAATGAGACCCCCGCCGCCGTCTGCAGGGGTTAAGCGCAAGATTGAGATGGCTACTGTGCGAGAGTCTAATCTGGGGTCCCTCCACGACGGTGTCTACTTCGACGAGAATGACTTTGACGATGATGACGACCTGGACTTTGAGGAACCCGATCCATTCATTCCCCCGGCCCCCATAACCAGACCGAGCGTCCCGAAACCTGAACCGCCCAAGTACCCGTCCCTCCATGGCATAACTGCGCAAGACGAAGAAATATCGATAGTCGACTTGACTTCACCCAGCAAAGCGGCGGCGGAGGTCAAGTACCCTGATTTACCCCCGGTTCCAGATGAGAGTGTCCCGCCATCCAGCAGCATACAAATTCCATGGTCTTCTTCGCCCCCCTCCCACTACCAACAACCGACCAGGAAGCCTCGAACTTTACCATGGCTGAAAGACGAGCCGGAACCAGAACCAGAGCCTCCATCTTTGAAGCCGCAAACTCCTATGCGGCCGAAACAGACGGCTCCCTGGAACAAATCATTTAGCGCGATTAAGGATGAGCAAAGGGAACTGCGTCGGCAGAACAAGACTATGAAGGCACAAGCAGGCGGCCAAATGCACAACCCCCGCACGAAGGTAGCTTCGATCTTCCTCAGCGATGAGCAACGCCATGTCTTGGATGCGGTTGTACAGCAAGGGAAGAGTATCTTCTTTACAGGATCTGCCGGAACAGGCAAGTCGGTGCTTATGAGAGAGATCATCAAAAAACTGAGGGATAAATACAAGAAAGAGCCGGACAGGGTTGCGGTGACAGCATCTACCGGTCTAGCAGCGTGTAATATTGAGGGTGTAACTCTGCACAGTTTCGCAGGTATTGGGCTGGGGAAGGAACCTGTTCCGGAGCTTGTCAAGAAGGTCAGCATTGGCGTCGACCGATCATATCAACACACATATGCTAACTCGCTATAGATCAAGAAGAACCAGAAAGCTCGGAATCGCTGGATGCGCACCAAGGTTCTGATCGTCGATGAGGTGTCCATGGTCGACGGCGATCTCTTCGATAAGCTAGAGGAAATCGCACGTCGCATTAGGAACAACGGTCGTCCTTTCGGAGGTATACAACTAGTAGTCACCGGTGACTTTTTCCAACTCCCCCCCGTCCCAGAAGGGAGCAACCGAGAAGCCAAATTCGCATTCGCAGCAGCGACATGGAACACTTCCATACAACACACCATCCTCCTAACCCACATTTTCCGTCAACGAGACCCCGAATTCGCCGACATGCTCAACGAGCTTCGACTTGGAAAGATCTCACCACGAACCATCGACACATTCAAACAACTTTCGAGGCCTCTCGACTTCCATGACTCCCTCGAGGCCACCGAACTGTAAGCCTAACACACATCCATATAACCAAACTCTTCCCAAATCCAAGCACCCAGCTCACTCCATCCCAGGTTCCCCACACGCCAAGAAGTCGAAAGTGCCAACGGCGCTCGAATGAGTCGCCTGTCCGGCGAAACAATGACGTTCAACGCCGTCGACAGCGGCACAATCCAAGACCCCCAATTCCGCGAACGCCTGCTAGCCAACTGCATGGCACCGCCAGTAATCCACCTGAAAAAGGGAGCACAAGTCATGCTCATCAAAAACATGGAAGACACGCTCGTCAACGGCTCCATCGGCCGAGTCGTGGCATTCATGGACGAAGCCACCTTCGACTACTACATCGACAACGAGAACGAATTCTCGGGAGCAGGAGGATCAGGCAACAACAGCGACGACGAGATCATGGCTCGTGCACGCAAGAAACTCAAGCCCATGGCCGCCAACAAGGACGCCAGTGGTCCCGGCGGCATCACGCTCACCCGCAAATGGCCCCTTGTATGCTTCGTGCAGCCTGACGGAACGGAACGCCATCTCCTCTGTCAGCCGGAGACGTGGAAGATCGAACTTCCCAATGGAGAGGTGCAGGCGCAGCGTCAACAGGTGCCGCTTATTCTGGCTTGGGCTTTGTCCATCCATAAGGCACAGGGCCAGACACTGCAGCGGGTGAAGGTTGATTTGGGCCGCGTGTTTGAGAAGGGTCAGGCCTATGTTGCGCTGAGTCGAGCGACCTCGAAAGCTGGTCTTCAGGTTATGCGGTTCGAGGCGCGCAAGGTCATGGTTCACCCGAAGGTTACGGATTTCTATTCCAAGCTTGTTAGTATTAGTGATGTTATGAAGACTTCGAAGAAGTCGAAGTCGGGTGGTGGTGGTGATCCTGAGGATGAATTTGAGCAGGATTATCTAGAGCATTTATACGGGTAAAATGGGATTGTATACCATTCTTGTGCCATTTGCTTATATTATGTGCACATTGTCAGGAGGGAAATGAATCTCCATGTGTATTTTTATGATGTGGTCCGGTGTGATTATCTATCGACTTAATATCAGTTATATAGTAGATACAGTATCTTCGCTCAATCACTTCCTGCCTCGGCCAATATGATATACAGATCTAATACAGATATCTCTAAGTAGAATTACCTTTATATTGAATCGTCAGATTATCCTATATAAAGTAGGAATATAGAGTACTAGTAAGATCTAGGTAGTAGTAGTTTCACGCTGAGCTACTTCATCTTTTGTACTTCAATACTTACTGTACCCCCAAGTCCAACATCACAATTGACTGCTCGGTTTATATATATAGCGGAAAAGAACCATGATGCTTAGACCTCCTAGCAACGTCAGGAGTGCCAAGTGATTCCGTACAAAATCGTTGACATATTCTTCTCTGGCTTCCTTATATTGGTCTTCCAGATCCCCACAGCTAGTAGAGTCCTCAAGGAAGGCAGGATATCCTAAGGTGATTGATTTCAGTGGAATTTGCTACTAGTACTAGTAGTATATATAGGAGCTGAACATATGCCACACATAATATCTCATTCAGAGAAGCAATTAATTGAGCTAATACAGCTGCTCAAAAGTGTTAATAGCAAACATTCACACGTATTACTAGTTCCAATAAGAATCAAGACTACTAAGAAATATAAAAGTAGAAGTGGAGATGCAGGAAAGGATAAAGAATGTATACTACATCGACGTATCGAGTCTGCATTCGAGGAATAAATATGAACTAATGAAACCAGCACCCATGGCTAACTCAGATGAAGGGAGTGAATATAATTCAGTCAAATATGGATGATTCAATGGCAGTACGTAGGGTTTGTTCCAAGGCCTAACTAGTAGGATGACTAGTCTATAATTGTGAGGAAACATGAACCCCACCGAGCGGGTCTCGTGTCTCCCTTATCGATAAGAGCCCAGCCACACGTGATGCCCAAGCCAAGAGCAAAGAAGCAAGCAAGCAAGCAAGCACAAGCTGACCCCAATCCACATCCACCTTTGGCGACCTTGTCGGGGCTCCTTCCGGTCCGTGGCGTGTTTTATCCTTGGCCCTTTGGACAGCGGTTGTACTCGTGCAGACTGCCGATCATGGCGACTGAATTTATCGGCTACGATGTGCTTGTGACGCTGCGAGCGCCACCAAATGCAACTGTGCAGGGAGAAGTGGCTAATGTCATCGGCCAACGTCTCATGCTCCGAAATGGTAAGTATAAGCCTTCTGCCCCCCCCTCTCACTGCCTAGCATCATTATCCCCACTTTGCAAGGATCTAACATCAACTTTTCTCATTCAGTGAAACTTTCCTGGATCGGACACCCGCTCCCTACGTATTCAATTGAAGCGCCCGACATCGCGGATCTTTCTTTGGGATCTTCGACTCCGCGCATCTCACAGCGTCCGCCTCCGCCTCAGGGATCTCAAAATATAGCCCCCGCACCTCCGCCTCCAAGTTTATCGCAAAGCTTCGTAGACCCGGCGATTCTAAGCTTTTCGAAGCCCCCTTCTGCGCCATCTGGCCAGGGTGCAGACTCGGGTCCGGTACAGCTTCCAGCCCCTTCCATTAGCCGGTCCACTTCACAAAACTTTCAATTTCCGCAAGTGGCTCATCGTGACCAAGCTGCTGTGCTCAACGAACCGTTCAGTAACCTGGAACTTGATGTTGGAAAGACCGCGAATGAGAGTCGCAGCGCCGTGCCAACCGGCCCTGTCCCCGCTGGAAGGGAGAACATTGTTTCATCGCAACCAACTCCGCAGTCCGCCGCGAAAGCTAGTCGTCGCACTGGACAACCGAGAACCCCAAAGGCAGTCAATGAACACGATGGGGCGACGAACACGGACCCAAGAAGCAAAGGCTGGCGTCAGACTGCTTTCGTCGAGCCGTCTTATCCGCAGATGAACAAGTCGCTCAATAAACAACGCCGGAAGAAGAGGAACAACAGATCGAATTATGTGGAGGACCCTAATGGCTGGGCTACAGAGGATGCGACGGATATCCAGGAGATGGGCGAGTTCGACTTCCAGAGCAACCTTTCCAAATTCGACAAGAGGAAGGTGTTTGAAGAAATTCGTAACGATGACACTACTGCCGATGAAGACCGGCTGGTTAGCTTTAACAGGAAAGTACCAAAGCCTGGAACAAATGGCGGGAAGAATCTGCATTGGACGGAAAATGTCCTTGACAGCCCTGAGGAGACTGAGAGCGAGGATACCGACCAGGTACCCAGCGATGCAAAACTAAGCAGCGGCACCTATTCTGGCCGGGAACGGTCGAGGACGTCCCGCGCACCGAACTCTCGCAAAGGAAGCGCCATTTTGGGCCAGCCGTTGGTGCCACCGCAGATCAATTCGCTCGGGCGCAGTCAGCTGAGCACATCTCGCACAACCAGCCCTCGACCCAATAAGACATCCGTTTCAGCATCCCCGATAAGCGCCCCTGGTGTACCTGGAGGCTCATTGCGGCTCACCACAACCAATCGAAGCTGCCCAACTGTCAGTCCATTGCAAACCCTCGAGGTTGAGCAGATTGCAGTTGCCGAACTGGGGCTGACCGAAGACATGATTACGGAAAATACGGGACGTGGTATCGCGGAAGCTGCTGTTGGACTCCTTACCAGCGACGCCGCTGCGCCCACGATGCTGGTGCTCACAGGCAATCATCGAACCGGGGCACGTGCCGTCTCTGCGGCTCGCCATCTCCGTAATCGAGGCCACCGCGTGACTGTCTGTATGCTAGGCATCGAGCACGACAATGAGTTGCTAGAAAGTTGTCGGAAACAGCTGGATGTCTTCAAGAAGATTGGCGGCCGAGTACACCGGTGGGAAGACTTATCGACCCGGCTCTCTACATCGGAATTCGCGCCCGACTTGGTTGTTGACGCCTTGTTCGGAATTCACATAGCATTTGATGACCTTCGCACGGATGACCAGGCCACTGCCTTTGAGATGATATCTTGGGCCAACCGGAGCAACCTGGAGATTTTGTCCGTGGACGTGCCTTCGGGGCTGTCTGCTATGAGTGGTGAGTATGCCGGATAATGTGCCCTGTTATGACGTCGGTGCTAACGTATTTTTATAGGCGAAGTTACTACAGTAGAAGGCGGCCGGCTATGCGTCAATTCGAAATCGGTGGTCTGTCTCGGGGCTCCCAAAACTGGGGTTGTCACTGCGCTACTCTCCGGGGAGGGACTATCATGGAATCTCTCTGTGGCCGACATTGGCATTCCTCAGATAGTCTGGAGAAAATATGGTAGTCGGCGGCGGCATGGGATCGACTTTGGGAACCGGTGGGTGGTACCATTACGCTACCAGCCCCCTCCCGTATGAGTCCTCGAACGGGGTGAACATGCTTAATGATGATTCAATGACCATGAAGGTAAACAAAATGAGCCATACATTGGGGCGTTACTGAAAGACAGGAAATATCCCACTATCAATGCGTGGCTTAGTGGTGGAAAAGGCATGATTTATTGTCACGATGGCGCCTTTGTGAGCGCTGCTTACATTATGTATGTATGATAGTGTGTAGTGTAGTTTAGCAATCGATATGACCATACGCCATGTCTACCTTGGTATCTAGTTTGCAGCATATAGTTTATAGTAGTCTAATAACGAATGCTCGGCTTAAGATACCAATCCCGTGACTACTATCATCCCCGTATAACGGTTACAGAACGAGGGTCATCTGCGGACGGTCTAGCCAAAATAGGCTAGATCTGGAAACGGCAATACATCATATTTCAGGCCTCGGGGCGCGGCGACAGGATCGCAAAAGTGAGAGCTGCTGCACCAGGCATCTAAAGCTTCTGTCGCCAGGATGGGAAAAGGTTGGTTCGGCATGATTCTTCCGAACATCTGAACGCAAGGCTAACTTACTCGCTCAATTGTTTAGGGACCGATAAGTTATATGTATGAACATTCCCCGTTGAAGATTTGTTCTTTCCCTTCCGCGCTCTATCGCTTATCGGACCTCGCATGGACTGACCCAACAACTTGTATAGATCACACACTCTGAATGGGCGTCGGAGGATGCATTCTCTGCTAGCGCTGGAGCCGGCGTGGGCAGAGCGAAGCGAGGAGGAGTAGATACGGCCTTCAAGCGCCTTCCCTTCAACTTCTGCTCCCTTTCACTACAGCCGTTTTCGCACCCGGTTTGCACACCGTCGGGCACCATCTTCGATCTCACCAACATTCTCCCCTGGATCAAGAAACATGGAACGAATCCAGTGAACGGCGCGCCGCTCAAAAGCTCCGATCTCATTAAGCTGCATCTCGCGAAGAACGAATCTGACGAATATGTCGATCCGGTTACATACAAGGTTTTCACGGACAACACGCACATTGTCGCGCTACGCAACACGGGGAATGTTTTCGCTTGGGATACGGTCGAACGGTTGAACATCAAGGGAAAGCTGTGGCGTGATCTGGTTACGGACGAGGAGTTCACTCGCAAGGACATCATTACGTTGCAGGACCCGCAGAACGTCGAGTCGCGGAACTTGAGCTCTTTCAGCTACCTCAAGGAAGGCGAAAGTGGATTGACGGATGAGCAGATCCGGGAACGGGAGGATCCTTCGAACAATGTGAACGTCAACGCGCTGGGCAGTTCGGCCAAGATCCTGAAGGCCAAGGAAGCTGTGGCCAAGGCACGCGCGGAAAGATCGCAACGTGTTGGTTCTGCGGCCACTTCGAAAGATTTGGCTAAATCTGGAAGTGCGGGAAATGCGGCGCAATCTCAAAAGACGGCGTCGTTTCAATCTGGCAAGGCTGTGCCGTATAATGCGGCCAAACACACTACTGGTTTGGCCGCCGCCTCACTCACCAGTACGGGGATGACGCCCCACACCTCTGCCGAGCTTGCGCTTTTGTCCGACGAGGAGTACATGCTGAAGAGAGGGCGAGTGAAGCAAAAGGGCTACGCTCGTATCTCGACCAACGTCGGGGATGTAAATTTGGAATTACATACGGAATACGCACCGAAGGCCGTGTGGAACTTCATCAAGCTGGCAAAGAAGGGCTACTATAGAGATGTCGCTTTCCATCGCAACATCAAGGGGTTCATGATTCAGGGTGGTGATCCCTCTGGTACTGGACGGGGAGGTGAAAGTATTTGGGGGAAGTACTTCAACGATGAGTTCGAAGGCCCACTGAAGCACGACTCCCGGGGTACCCTCAGTATGGCCAACAAGGGCAAAAACACGAACAGCAGTCAATTGTAAGTTCCCAAGATGGATACGGAGGGCCTGCGCTAACAACTTACCCCTTGACTAGCTTTATTGCTTATCGTGCCTTGCCCCATCTCAACAACAAGCACACCATCTTCGGTCATGTCATTGATGACCCCACGCCCTCCTCCACGACCTTGAACAACCTTGAAGTGCACCCGACAAATCCGACTACTAACCGACCTACTCCGGACATCCGCATTACCGATGTGACGGTGTTTGTGGATCCGTTTGAAGAGTTCTTGAAGCAGAAACAAACAGAGGAGGCCAAGGCGAAGGGCCAGATTGTTAACCCCGAGGAAGAAGAGCAGAATGCGCGCCGCGCCGAAGATGACCGGATGACCTGGACGGGAAAAAGAGTCCGTGGCGCAGGAAGCGGAGCGAAAGACGAAGGCTCTGGCGGGGTAGGCAAGTACCTGAAAGCCGCGCTGGCCGAGAGGGCTGGGCAGGAGGAGGATGAGATTGTGGAATTTGTAGATGATGAGCCCGAACCCGAGCCAATGCGGAAGAAATTCAAGGGCGGAGGCGGGTTTGGGGATTTTAGTTCATGGGATTAGGAGCTCATATATAATGGGGATCATATTATTTTATGTGTATAACAATAGGTGTTGATGATCAAAACTACTAGTGGTTGGTTGAGCTTGATTTATTGAATGGTTCGAATATACGGTAGTGGAGGTTTCTGGGCTATTAGGGGATATTGCGAACATAAAATACCGCAGGCAACATCACGGTTTTTAGTACAGGAAATAGATTAATTGGGAAAGTGAACATTTTGGCATTATCACCAATAATATCAAGGCTTGCAATGCTTTTTCACTTATCTCTCATCTGGACCTTGCCGCTGCGTCATCCTCCACGCACCATCTGTCAGGGTCACGTTATGACGACCTCGATTCACCGCCTCCCGAAAATAGTAACCAGACTGTATCCGATCGGCTGGGAACTGTTGTAGTGGGACTTGTGCTCAGTACTTACTTAGTGAGTGGGAGTAGTGCTGGTGTGCACTTAATTTGCTGGGCACGACATGGCAAGTAGTACCAAGTAACAAGTACCCTTTTTCCTAGCGTGCTTCCCACCCGGAGGAACCAACGATTGCTAATAATAAAGGACCCCATCCCGAGCCCGCCTCACTTACCACCACCACTACTTACTACTTACTTACTACTAGTTATTACCTCCGATCCATACCAACTTCCTTCTTTTCCCTTTCCCTCTTCCCCCCCATCATCGCAACATCCGACTGTTGCGCATCCCTCCCCTTTTTATTTTTGTTTGATCTTCTCCACATCCTTGTCGACATACAACCCAGCCTATCGCCAATTTCTCTCCCTATTTGCTGTGAGTGTCCTCGATTCCTTCTACATCCTCTCTCCCCGTGGTCGCTCTGTAACCCTGTCCCCTCCGGCGCGCAGTGGGGTTGGTTCGGAAGGTGAGAGCTTAGGACGCTTGCTATAACGTGCCTTTCTTTAGCTTCTGTCTGAACTCCCGACATGGATGAATTTATTCCGGAATATTTCTCCCTATGTTTCGAATTACTTTTCTGCCACTGTTCGCTTGTCGCCGGAAGAAGGGTGTATATAGCCCGCTCCACAGCATGCATCCGGCGTTGCCTGACCACGATGTCACTTGCCCGCCCGCATTGCTGGCTGGAAGCCATCGGAATCTTCAAGCAGATCCCGCTACCATCGTGCTTAGCTGGAAACTTGGTCTTGTAGTGGATCGAGACGCTGACATGCCTTGTCTACCCAGCTAGATCCATCTCGCCTCCGCCGCAATTCGCATCCTACGTCAGTCCTCCCGGCGGCTTTCATTCTTTGGCGCTTCTCCCCCCCCTTCCCCACGCGCCGCCGCCGCCGCCGCCCCCCTCCGCACTACTCTCGAACTTTTGATCCGGTTTTAAGCCCCCCTACCCATCAACGATCATCAAGCTGGCAGGGAATAAGCGGAGAAGTTTTTCTAGCCAGGGTGGGTTGCTGAACAGAATGTTCAGTGGCTCCTCGAGCCCACCCAAAGACAAGACAGATTCCATCACTCGTTCCGGCGCCATTGACACGCCTCCCTTGAGCATCCACACCGAGGAAGCCAGCATCAGCCAGAAGAAGTCCTCTCCTCCTGGCGGCTTCTTCACCCGACGGACCAGTGAGGACCAGAACAACTCTGGTGGCGAAAAGAAGCGCCGGAGTAGCACCGTCACCAAGGCAGCATCCTTCTTCACCAGTGCTAAGAACTCCCTCAGCCTGTCGAGCAGTCCGCGCGAGAACTCCTTCAACAACTACACCATCCAGGAACAGCCTGCGTTGAACAGGCTTGGGAGCATGGACCCAGCTCTGAGTGTTCCCCAAGGGTCGTTAAACAATTCGGCTGGAGAATCACTCCCCACTTCTCGCTCTTCGTTCAAAGTTGGCGTGACAGAAGATCGGAATCGAAAATGTCGCCGGACTATGGAAGATACCCATGCCTACCTCTACAATTTCTTGGGGACCCCCGCACCTTTAGCCCTGGCTGAGAACAATGGCAAAGCCCTCCCGAGTCCCACTGCCCCCTCGCCCACTTCTGAAGAACCCCCCGCGACCGTCGTGGAAACCGACAACGGTTATTTTGCTATCTTCGATGGACATGCAGGCACCTTTGCGGCGGAATGGTGCGGGAAAAAGCTGCATCTGATCTTGGAAGAGGTCATGCGGAAAAATCCCAACACACCTGTTCCGGAACTCCTGGATCAAACGTTTACCAGCGTAGATCAGCAGCTGGAGAAGCTACCTGTGAAGAACAGTGGTTGTACCGCGGTCATTGCCCTCCTCAGATGGGAAGACCGCGTACCCAGTCTGCATTCCGCGACGGGATCGGCGGCCCTTGCACCTGCCGCTGCCGCTGCCTCCAAGGGTGACGCCGATTCGGATGCGGGCGATACGCCTACTCAGGCCGCCGTATCAGGCGGTGCGGCGTCCATACTTCCCAAATTACAAGAGAAATCCCTCCGTCAGCGTGTCCTCTACACTGCTAATGTGGGAGATGCCCGCATTATCCTATGCCGCAACGGCAAGGCACTTCGTTTGTCCTACGATCACAAGGGTAGTGATGAGAACGAAGGGAAACGGATAGCTAATGCAGGGGGATTAATATTGAACAATCGCGTCAACGGCGTGCTTGCCGTGACTCGAGCTCTCGGTGATGCGTATCTCAAGGATCTGGTAACCGGACATCCGTATACTACCGAAACAGTGATCCAACCCGACTCAGATGAGTTTATCATCCTCGCTTGTGATGGTGTAAGTTTGAACTCTTTTATCTCGCTTAAAACCTTCTTGCTAACAGAGATTATTAGCTCTGGGACGTGTGTAGCGACCAAGAAGCGGTAGATCTTATCCGCAATGTGCATGATGCCCAGGAAGCATCCAAGATTCTGGTCGACCATGCTCTTGCGCGGTTCAGCACTGACAACCTTTCCTGTATGGTGATCCGCTTCGATTCTGACCGGGTGAAGGATGTCATCAACCGAACCGTGGAGCCTATCGGCGTGGACGGAGATCCTTCTTCGAATGTGGATCGCGGGATGAGCGAGGCCGATAAGATCATCGAAGGCGCCAGGAAGAGCATGGCCAGTGCGGGAATTGCAGATGATCCGACGACGGCTGCAAAGGCACAAGAAGAGATTCTGCAGAAAATGTCGAATGATGAGCCTGGGCCCGAGCTTTCCGTCAACGAGCATAGCCATGAGCAGGTGGTCAACAACCTGAAAAAGCCTGAGCCGAAGAATCCGAGTTCTTAATCGTTAGAATCAGAACTTAAAAGGAATAGTGTGACATTCTGTGCCGCGAGATAGAGAGACTGAGGCCACCTGGTCTAAGTCCGTCAATGGAGTTCTGCTGCTCTTCTCATCTCTCCCTTGAACATCTGTTACTTGTTCCATTGCTGCTGGCGTCGGTCGCGGACTTACACACATCAGGTCCTCACTATGTGACTTTGCTATTTTCTTTTCTTCTCTTCTGCTCAAGGGTCTGAATCCTTGCATTGACACTTGACCCTATTGTTCTTCCTGTCTATCTTCTCTTTTGATCCTTCATTTCTTCTATATTCTCATCCCTCCTTCGTTTGGAGCTTTGATTTTCATATTTCTTACTTCGGCCTTTCTTTGCTTGGACCGGACGCCGGCAAAGCCAGGACAGGACCGGCTGGACAGCGTGAATGACACTTCCGCCGGGGACGCTCCGCTGTATCCTACCTACTATGGTGATGTAAATTTGACCTGCAGGTCTTTCTTTCGCCAGCTTTGCAGCAGACATTTAGCAATACATGATTTCAGTCGGTGCACCAGACAAAGAATGCAAGTAGACAGGAGCTCATGGTCTGCTAAGTGTCTTTACATATTTTCATAAACCAGCAATGTACCATCGTAGAATAGCAATGAACTCTAATCCCATGATCTATATTGAGGCTGATCACCTGACCCTTTCGATCTCTCGGTCTTTCCTTCCCCTACAACTTCATCATTCCCGACATCTATCCAACACCCCCAGATCGCCCATTGTCTCCCATCACGCTCCTGATGTACACCATTTCATCATATCTCAGCATATCATTTCTCTGCTTCCAATTGAAACATGCGGCGAAAGGCGATCAAAGCAGAACAGTCGCGCAATAATGAACATTGTTAATGGACCTTTCGTCCAGCGAACAGCTGCCGGGTCACCGTCCGCAGATCAAATCCCGCCCAAGCAACAATCAGCTTAACATAGACCCACCAGATAATCCATAGAAGTTGGTAAAAGGCCCGGTAAGGATAAGCTATCTTCCTGGCGAATATAGTCGAGCAATCATACATCTGCTTGCTGCGGGACGCTAGCTCAAATGCACCGACTTTCCTGGTATTGAACAATCGCAATGTCCTTCTTTCTTCCACGCTCAACTTCGGCATGAGCTGCTCAGTCTTCTCTTCATGGAAGTTGAACGAAGTCCCAAAGATCTTGTACAGACGGCTGATCGCGTCTGATCTGGTATTCCACCCGTTCCTCTTCACCCACTTTAAATGAAACCGCCAGGGTAACCATCGGAGTTGGTAAACTGCCGCTTCTATCTCCCTGAACGAAATCCGAGCTTTTCTGCCACTTACCGCATGGACGCAGCCTTGAGTTTGGTAAGCCAGATGAGCCAGAAGGCGATCTACAACGATGTCAACAGGGACTTCATCCAGATTGGAGTCTGATTCCGGGTCGTCCAGCCGGCTGGACAATTCAAAGGAAAACGCTGTATGGTTGACAAACAAGGCCGCGATCATAGTCATCGGGGTCGACGTGGGAATCGCATACCCGGGGTATGGAATGCTCTCGGCCGGCCCAATTACAGACGGCCGTAAAATCAGCAATCGGTCGTACTTTCCATGTCTTGTGAACCTGTCCGTGACTAGACGCTCGGAAAGATGTTTGGCATACCCATAACCCCAGGGAAAGTCGTTGCTCTCGTATTCTTTGGTGGATCCTCGCGACTGTAGTTCCGAGTATTCCTCGTCCACAGTGGAATTACCATTATTGGGAGAGGTAGATTCAAGTGGTATTATACGCTCTTCCATTTCCACATCTCCTTTGGGAGACAGGCTGCACAAATGGGTATTGGTATACGCTGTTGAGACGTAAACAAAACGTTCCAGTTTGTCACATTGGAGTCCCAGTTCGACAGCATACTCTGTGGCCCGGATGACGCTATGCCACATTTTCTGAAGCCGCTGGGCAAGATTGATTGAAGATGCGGCATGGATGATGATGTGGACGTTGCGCTTCAACATCTCAATGTGATCAGCGCTAAGGCCTAGACTAGGCTTCATCATGTCACCGTCTAGAATGGTGATGCGGGGGTGATCTAGAAGCCATTGCGCAGTATCAAATGGGAGATGTTGGTGCCATTTCCCGGAGAGACCACTGTTATGGTCAATACGTGTAGGTCTTACACCATCTCTTCTTTCTACTGGAGTTTATGGCTTACCTTCTCCCTCCACGTTGCAGCAAGTATATGTGTTTGAACTCAACGGTTGTAGCGATCCGATGTACCAAAGCTGTGCCTAGGAAGCCGGACCCTCCGGTGATGAATATTGTCTTTGCTTGATAATAGCCGAGCATTTTAAACATGATGCTCCAAAACCTATCCAGAAAAGTAAGCCTGCACCACGACTTTTCAGGTCTAAACAGGGAGGGCTGACTTTGGGTTTCAACAGGCGTAATTATATACTTCACTTGGTCACACAGCGCCCACAGATCGGCAGAAGGTATATGTAGTCACGTCACCCGCAGTATGCATGATCTATTGCAGGGTGCATAGCTGAACCTGATCGACCCTGATATCACCATAGCCTACTACAGTAGCTGAGATGGGGCTTGGTGTGATCCAGCAAAAGAAAAGAGCACTATTGCATTTGATATTCACCGGTGGGTCTCCAAGGCGATCATGTGAAAGGGAGTCAGCAAGGAGGCTAAGGCCTTTGGGGAACACAAGATTGTAGACGATAGCGATTACTGTTCGTGGGAATTTCAATCCACCAATTCTTGGATCCAGCGCTAACAATCGATAGTCATACTGCATATCTCCCACTCCGGAAATGTGGCTACAGGTATGGGCGAAACCCTACTTTGGAAGACTGTGAAAAGCCTGAAGGCCGTGAGTCGCATTCATTGGTCCACTGGTGGCATATAGTATGTCTCAGATGTCACAGGCGTTATCGACCGCTTCCTATCAGAGTAGACTCAGCAGCTGCAAACAAACAGGCGAATTCTATCTAATGGTCTTAGTGGGCTGGCAAGATTCAAGGCTCGGTTGACAAGGCTACGGATATTTCTGCACCCTGCTCAAGCATTTATCTACTATTGAGCTGCTAATTCCTTAAAGGGTAATGATATGGTGGTGCTCTTCAGCCGCACGAGATCCATCACAGTTCAGCTCGGGAGAATATCGTGGGCTGCCAGATCCGAGACCCACTGCTACTAGATCCTATGAGCTAAGTTTTGCGAGAACAATAATTTTGGAAGCCCGAGATCAGCTACATATATTATTGATTTGAGCGCGGCTGACTTTTTTTTTTTCAATTATTTAACTTATAGCATGCTTCTTGCAAGCTGCGATGATTATCCACGTGGGGCAGAGTCGTCCGATTCCTTCATATCTCATCACTCGATGGTTTCCACTGTGGAGTGCTCACTAGTAGGTATGAACTCTTATAAAATTTGCATTTTACGGAATTATCATGAAAATTCAGCCAATGAACAGGTGTGACTCCTATACTGATAGGCCACTATCGGAACAAGTGCCATGGCGGTCCAGCTGAGGAATCTATTCCGCAGTATGGATAGTTAGCTTTACGATCTTTGCTGAACATCAGAGCTCATGTAGATATCTGGATATTTAAAATCCCCAAAAAATGGGGACTGGACGAGGCGGATCTACTATTTCCGATGCCCACTTACTCAAGACAGAGGCGAAATCCAGCAAGCACTAGGCTTGCTAGAAGCGATGGTTGAAAGGACGAAGGGCTAATGGCCTGCCACATGATAAATATATCAACTCATCAATTCATCCGAGTAAGTCCTTTACTCACATACAGTAAAGGCTATCCAAAATGACGACCTACCAGTTCCACGACGTCATCAAATCCGTCACCGACATCGACCGACGCAAATGTCGTCGTGAAGTACCTATGCAAGTCCTGGCACTTGGACTCTGCCGGACAGGAACAGACTGTATGGTGTGCATCTAAGATGGACGATGCGTGTTACCGCTAACGAGAAGTAAAGCATTGAGACAAGCTCTCCGAGCCCTAGGGTACAATGATACCTATCACGGATACGCAGCCGTCCTGGAGAACCCTCGAGACTGTGAGATGTGGCATGCTGCTTTGAGCGCCAAATATGAAGGCAAGGGTCGGCCATTTGGTCGAGAAGAATTTGATCAGATCTTGGGGCATTGTCAGGTATAGACCCCCTTGCAATTGAGTGATTGAGAGAGTTATATACTAAGTCAGATAAACTGACCACTGTTATAGGCCGTATCGGATTTCCCAGCAGCCTGCTTCGCAGACGAATTAATCCAAGCTTATCCAGAAGCTAAAGTAATACTGACAGTCCGAGACGTGGATGATTGGCACAGGTGCGTTCAGTGTCCCCTCTCATCTCAATCATTCAACACACTTTTCTCATAAAAAAGCTACAACAGATCCGTCAGTAAATCATTCACTCCCCTCCTCACACATCCCCTCCTCCCCCTCTCCACCATCCTTGAGAACTTCCTCCTCTCCCGAACGCGTTGGATCCGCCCAACCTGGCAAAAGATCTGGAAGTACTACTTCAATGACAACTTCGACGCCAACGGCCGCAAAGCCTTCGAGGCGCATAACAGCCACGTCAAGGATATCGTGCCGGCTGAGAACCTCCTCGTCTATCATGTCAAGGAGGGGTGGGAGCCGCTGTGCGAGTTTCTGGGAAAGAGTGTTCCCTTGGATGAGAATGGACATGTGGTGCCTTTTCCGAGGGGAAATGATCCGGGGATCTTCCGGAATAGGTTCAGGGATGCTATTTGGTATAACTTCTTGGAGTTGGGGGAGAGGGTGCTTAGGGTTGTTGTGGTTTTGTATTTTGGGTATTTGTGGGTGGGATGGATTTGGGGGTGGATGGTACGGTCATGATATAATACCAAAGATCAGTGCAGTGTGATCTGCTCAAACGCCATTGCATCATTTCTCTAAAACAACAATCGTAGTAAGTAGTGTAGTAGTGAGTAAAAATACAATTTATAATCAAAATGGAAAAACACGCAACCCTCGGCATATGTATACACCATCCACAACCCAGGATGTGATATCAATCAATCAATCAAATATGAACATCTTAGTTCTTCTCAACCTCCTGCTGCTGCTGCTCCGTCCTCTCACGGAACTCACCCTCAGCCAGGACCTCCGAACGCAGACCCTTCTGACCAGGCATGACATGATCGCGAGACAATTCCAACTCACCATGTCTAACCCTCTCAGGCCAGTTCTCCGCAAACCGCGCATCATGCAAATCCCTCCAAAGGATCTTAACCCCCATCTCCTCCAACGCACCAGACGTATCCTTGGTCTCCTGAACCTTATACTCCACAACCTCACTACTCAACGCCTGCTCCAACCCAGCCACTCTAGCCGCCTGCTCATTCGCAACCGCCTCCTCCTTAGCGCGAGCAGCACGTCTCCTCTTCCGCGCAGTAGGAGTCAAATAACCCCTCTTTCCATCCGCAAAGCCATTAGCCACCTCCTCTTCCTGGATCTTTAGCACGGCCGCAATATCCGCCACACTGGTGGCCTTTTGATCCATGACGGCGCGCTTGCGGTGGTGCTTGGGCATGATCCGTCCGATCTTATCCTTGTATTTCTCCAGGAAGTCTTCAGCGCCCTTTGGGTCGCGCGGACGTTTCTGGTCGATCCAGGCGTCCGTGATGGTGATCATTTCTTTGGGTGGGGAGAGTTGTCGCTGCATGCTGAATTCCCGGAGGAGGTGGTATGCTCGTAGCCCGATCTTGCTGTCGTTGAAGTGCACGCTGAAGTAGGGGACCCACATGTCTTTGCGGAGTCGGGCGGGGACGGTCTTTTTGCCGTGGTAGAGGAGTTGTTTCAGGGTGGTGTTGTTCTGGTGGGTGGGGAGGTTAGTGGTGGTTCTTTTTTTCAAAGACTTGGTATGGGGTCGATGGTTTGATAAATGGAATTGATTTAGTGGATGGGAAACTCACCTCCAAATACCGAGTGAGAGAGTACACGACTTGATTCGTGCGAATATTGTGATAGGCAAAGATGTTCTTGCCATGAGTGAGTGCCTTCAAGGCCTTTCGTAACCGAGTTCCCTCCTTGGCCTGATGCGTCTTGAAGGCATTGGAGTTCTGCTCGCGCGGTTTGCCCTGGATAATGCTGTGGTTCTCGACGGGTGGACGGCGCACAATGTTCCACGTTCCGATCTTGGTCGGGTCCAGGATCTTCTGGAAGGGCGTCTTCGTCACCTGTTGTGAGGCCATCGCCGCGGCCGGGTTGGTCACCGTACTCCGCGTGACCGGATTCTTCCTGTTTAGATGGTGATGAGGGCCGGGGAGGATCGTGGGTGGGAATAGAGTGGACGGTTGACTTTCGTCGTTCACTCTATTTTACCGAATTGGGCCCAGATCCGGAGAGATTGGGGGGTAATTGGTGGGTGTGTGGTTGAGGATGAACTGGGTGAAGCTCCGGGAGAGGAGAAGAGGGAATGAGAGAAGGTCGGCGGATCAATTTTTCGACGGAGATCCCGACCGGGCGAGCGATTCCGCCGGCAACCCAACTACTACTACTACTACTAACTTGCTGGCTTCATTCAACCAGCTCTATGTCAACGGTCGACGATCAGCAACGCTAAATTGTGTGAAAACGTTTAGAATTGAGTTTTCTTTCGATTGTATTTGTCGTTGGTGTTTTATCCTTCTGTCATCTGCTTAGGATGACCCGACACATAGGCCCTGCGCAGTGCGACAGCTAAGCTTCCCCTCCGAGTGTCTGTCTGCGATGGCGCTGCCGGCGACCGCCTGGGGATTCGCGGACAACGACGACGACACTGGCAGGCGCCGTGAAAGACCTGGCTTGTTTCTTCCGGTACATTATCATTCTACGGCTCTTCTGTATACTCATTGACGCATCCCGCTGATGGTTTCCGCGCAGAATCGCAAGCTTCGCCATCTGCAGGGCGTGTCTGTCCGGAATCTCGTTGTTAGTCCGCCGAGTCGACCGCGCGGGAAGACCATCGACGATGACAACATCCCCAACTCGCTACATACGCCCTTGAAAGCGCTCGCCGAGGATGCAGCGAAACCCTTACATCAGTCGCGCTCCTTCACCGATCTCAAGTCGACCCCCGCCTCCAGCAGCGCAGAAGACCGCCCCCGGAGAGAACAGCCACCCCCGTTGCGACAATGGCAGAGGAGGAACACGCTACCCTGGAATGGGCCCAATCCGCGCGCGCGTCAGGTGAAGTTGGAGGAGATTACGAGCAGCCGTATGGCCGACACGTGGTTCTCGATTCACTGCGACGGGGTCGACGAGCCGGTTTACGTGAGTGAGGTGGTCGAGCATGCCACCAACCCCAGCTTCCGGTCTTTTGATCTGAATATATGTGGGCCGGCAATCGCTCGTCGCGACCAGGTTACGGTGAAGGTCTGGGCACGTACGGCGGCCATGGAGGAGTACTTGCTGCTGGTGGAATTGCAGCTGTGTCTGCAGTCTTTACAATTCCTGGGGAAGTCACTGGATAACTTCCATCAGCCGCTCCCACCGAACTCGATCCTGTTTCATTTCGCAGATGGCGTCTACACCAATCTAACTGACCTTCCCCCCGTGATCGCTTCTATACCTCCCCGCCACCCCCGATCCGCCGATGGTGCCACGTTACCGACGTCGTCGTACGATGCGCTGATGCGATTGGCCAATTTGGATGAGTGTATCCAGGATGCCCTGACGACCCGAGATAAGCTCGAGGCGCAAATCAGCTCGATATTAGAGAAGAACCAGCGCGCTCTGACTACGACCAGTAATGCGTCGCGGGCCCGGGATAAGCTTGCGCTGGCCAAGCATGCCGTTGCGACGGAGCGGAAGCAGCTTCGCACTTTAACGAAGCGGAAGGAAGAATTGATCGCCAGTCTTCAAGCGAGACGAGAGGCCATGGAGCGTGGACGCCAGACACAAGCTAGGGCGCGCAGTCATCTCCCGGACGCGCAAGAGAAACTGGGCTCGAGCGTGAAGTTGCTGGAACAGAACACGGACGAGGGCCGCGGTCAGATCCGGCGCATGTCGGAGGACCTACTTGCGATTTATCCTATTGAACCCATCCCGGACAAACCGCTGGCTTTCACCATCGCTGGAATGGCCTTGCCCAACTCGAATTTTACGGATGTCGACCGCGATGGGGTTGCGGCGGCGCTGGGTTATACCGCACATCTCGTGTATCTGCTGTCGTTCTATCTGTCCATTCCGCTGCCATACCCGATCAGCCCGTATCTGTCGCACTCGCTGATTCAGGACCCGGTGTCTGCATCGCTGCCGCAGCGAACCTATCCACTCTACCCGGTGAATGTGCAGTACCGGTTTGAGTATGGGGTATTCTTGCTGAATAAGGATATTGAGTTTCTCTTGAACAAGCAAGGGCTGCGCGTGCTCGACATCCGACATACCCTCCCCAACCTGAAGTATCTGCTGTATGTGCTCACGGCGGGCACGACGGACATCCCCGCACGCAAAGCTGGGGGCATCCGGGGCCTTCTGCCTGGGCGATTAACACCGAGTCTATCGCGCCGGGGTAGTGAGGCCAGCAGTACTAATGGCGAGGCAGTGTTCCCTCGCAAAGTGGTGGGCTCAGTGATAAGTGCCAACGGGGAAGGGATAGCGCCCGACAAGGGAAAGCGAGCCATGGCGAGTACTAGTTTGGCCGGTGCAGCGCCATCTGTGGCCTGAACGAGCATCTTGTTTTGAATTTGGTTTTTTTTTTTTTTTTTTTTTTTTTTTTTTCCTTCTCTATGTGTGTATGATTTAGCTTTGGGATCACCCTACACATGACATGATCATGCTTGTTGCGATTGAACGTGGTTTGGGTCTTGCATTTGTAGGCCATGTTGGGAGTTGAGCGTGTACATGTTTTCTTTTTGATTTTCATCCTTCTTTTTCCCTTCTTATTCTTCTTACTTTACTTCCTTTCTTTCTTTTTCTTTTATCCAGCGGTCGAGTGGATTGGGCTGTCCTTCCACTCACCCGCTTATCGGCTTTAATTTATTTGACCGTCGGAGGCGCGCTCAGGCTGTCCGTGTACATAGTGATGATATCTAAACCTACTACACAAGACTCGAATGACAATTTAATTGCAGCGATGTTTATAAGGGTAGGGTATTTTATCTTCGTATCTTCACTATTCAGACCTATCTGGAGAGAAAGTTACTTAGGATATCGATAGCAATACTATCTTCTCTGAGGAGAACCGAGGAAGAATGGAAGAATGGAAGATGCCTGGAAGGGGGAATGGCGGAGAAAGCGACCGGAGCGACCGGGAAAGACCAGGCAAATCTACTCGATTCATCTTAGACCCAGAGTCTATTGCCATTCGCTTTGATAACAGGAACTGGGAGTGGATGCAAGGGCATGGGGGGGGGGGAATGTTTCCCCCCAGGAAAAGAGAGAGAGAGAGAGAGAAATTCCTGCGAGAAATCCAACTCAGCAGCCCTGAATGAATGAATGAAGAAAGGAAGGAATGAATTTGGTTTGGGAAATTCCCTACCCCGCATTTTGCATTGGCAGTACACCTGACTGACACACAGAAATGAAGCAGAAAGTGAAAGAGTGAACAATTCCCTGGTGTTATTGTTGTGGTGGTGATGGTGGTAGTTGTTTTTTATTTTATTTTATTTTTTATTATCAATTATTCCCACCCTCCATCATCATCAACCACCACCTGCCACGGATTCACTACTTCCTTTCCCCGTCTTTTACCTCCTCCTCCTCACCACCACCACCATCATCTTCCCACCCCCCCCCCTAAAAGTTGCTTGCTACTTTGCTGCCTGGTTATCCGCGGAGAACTTCCGGGCCGGGACGAAACCAGGACCAGCGCCGTTTAGAATCTGGAACTCAGCGACTGGATCTTCGCCCACAAAAAAGCCGTTTCCCCCCACCGCTTTTTGTCGCTTTGCATCGGCAATCCCCTCTGGCCTGAATATCCACTCTCCATCAAACCATGGCGGCGCCTGCGAGTAACGGCCAGCACCACCACGACGCCGCTGCTTCAGCCTCTCAGTCCCTCTATTCCCACGACCCCGGAGCTCCGAAATCGCCCTCCCCCCAGCTCCAGCAGCAGCAGCTCCAGGCCCAACAGCCCCAGCATCGGCGTGGTTACCAGGCCTGCGACCCTTGCCGGAAGCGCAAAGTCAAGTGTGACCTTGGCAGTAAGTTGCCCTCATTTCTTCCCCCCCCCGCTTCAAGGTCCCTGATTAATTAACCTTCCCCCCCCTCCCTTCTCCTCTCCCCGGTTACTTTTCCCTTGATGCTTATTCGTCCCCCCCGCAGGTGTCGATAATCCCCGTCCCCCGCCCTGCGTACGATGTCGCCGCGAAAGCAAGCGCTGCGAGTTCTCCGCTACTCGGCGGAAGCGCAAGCCCTCCGAAGTGGAGGAGCCCACCGAGGCCGTCCTGCGACGCGATAAGCGGATGATGGTGGGCGAGGTCATCTCGAATAGCGGATCCGTCAGTGATGGAGGCTCATCCTATGCGCCCGAGCGCACCTCTTCCTTCGATAACGGTGCTAGTCTCTCCCGACCAAAATGGACCGAGGAGTCTCCGGCCACGAACAATACGCAGCAGCTCCCGTCGTCTTCGACGCCCAGTCAGCGCTTTCCTTCTAATCCGTCGCCGTCCGGAAATGCGCCGTTCTCCGAACCAAGAAGCACGCGGCTGCCCATGTACTCGGCTGCGGAGCGGAGTCATGCGGCGAGCTTCAGCCTCGAGGGTGGCCAGCCCATGATGAACCGGACGGCCGTTGAGTTGTTGTCGCCGGCCATCAGTAACAGTCATGATGCACTGCACCTGTTATCAGAAGCGGCTGGTCGGACGGAAGATCTCAACCGCCAGAGCCTGGAGAACCGGTATGCTGCGCGCCAGTCGGTTTCATCATTCAATTCGCCCATGTCTCCGCTCACGCAGGCTGGTACGCCCCGGAGTGGAGGCGGGTCGTTCTCTCGACCACCCCGCTCCGGAACAGTGCCTGGCGGTACGTACTATGCTGCGGGCGCATCAGGGTCCGCTGATGCGCGACTTCCCGATGGTCGTGGACCAGCGGATGCTGCAGAAACGGCACAGGACCCTGGGTTCGTGGATGCGGTTAAGGCTTGGTCACGACTACGGTTTGTCCGTGCAGGGTGGTTGTCTGTGGAAGAGTCGATGGCCTATGTAGCATATTATTACGAGCATCTCGCCCCGCTTAGTCCCATTGTCATTCCGGACTTTTCGCATCCGTCCACTCATCGGACGTTGCTTACAGACGAGCCAGTGCTCGCAGTAACTATTCTTACGACAGCGTCGCGGCATATGAAGCCCAAGGGCGATGGGGCTTACACGCGTGCTTTCTACATCCATGACCGGCTCTGGTCGTACCTCCGCGGCATGATTGAGCGTTTGTTCTGGGGCCAGGAAAAGTTCGGTGGAAACGGCGTGGGGATTAGTGGGCCCCGTTCGTTCGATCTCGCGCCGACTTCGTCAAAGATAAGCCACAAGGGCAACCTGAGATCACTGGGCACCATCGAGGCGCTGCTGATTCTGACGGATTGGCATCCGCGGAACCTTCACTTTCCGCCCGGTGACGACGAAAATGCCTTGCTGGATCTGGACGCGCAAACGCAAAGTCGGTACGAAAAGGAACTCGAAACAGAGGTTGACAATACGGCCAACCGGGTTCCGAACAGTGCTGCTGAAGGGAGGCTGGCCTTCCAGAAGTGGCTGGAGCCCGCATGGCGGTCGGACCGGATGTCGTGGATGTTGCTGAGTACCGCACAAGCGTTGGCGTTTGAACTGGGAGTGTTCGACCAGAAGAGCGATGCCAAAGCTGTGGGCGAATCCCCATCCGAGCAGACGCGGAAACGTCGACTCCGGCGTCTGATTTTGGTGTACATCACCCAGAGCAGTGGTCGCTTGGGTATCCCGTCCATGCTGCCGTTGCCTCAGTGGACCAACGACATTCAGCCTACGTCAGCCAGCGCTGCCAATGGGGCAGATACCATTGTTGACCGGATGCACGATTGCTGGATTGGAATTTCCAAGATCATGTACCAGAGCAATCAACTCTTATTTGCGTCGAGCGAGCAGACGTCAGAGCTCATTCGCAGCGGTCGTTACCGAGACCAGATCGACCGCTTCCAGCCATTCTTGCGCGAGTGGCGACATAACATTGACACGATAGATTGTAAGTGCTCTTTACCTCGTGGGTTGGACGCTAGCCGGTTGCTAATAGATGTACGCAGTGGCCCCCTCAATGCGGTGTATCTTGATGATTGAATATGAATATACCCGTATGTAGCTGATCCATGTGTTTACGGCGTCCGACTTGCTGACTTTCTCAGGACTCTATGTCAACTCTTTGGCTTTGCAGGCGGTGGTGGATCGCTGGACGACAATGTCGAATGAGGCGGCTCAGGCCCAGAATGCGCGCCCGAATTCTGGTCCATCCTCGGGCACCGGTTGGTTCCATGTGCTCATGGAGTTATATCGTGTCAACGAGCAGTACATCCAGGAAGTGGTCGATGCCTCCCGCAAGATCCTGCAGACCGTACTCGAAATCCTCGTCCCGCGCGATCACCTCAAGCATGCCCCTGTCCGGACGTGCTTTCGTATCCTTTCCGGAATGATTTTCATCTTAAAGGTGAACCTCTTCGATTCCTCGATAACCTTGTGGATCCGCTGACGCTTTTCCAGACTTTCACGCTTGGTGCCAAAGAAGATGATGTGCGTGTGTCGCTGGACCTCCAGGATCGCACCATCGAAGCCTTGAAGACCTGTGTAGTTGACGATGTCCACCTAAATCACGCGATTGCGCGATTGCTGGAGTTGCTCACCACCAGCATTCGCACGCGTTTCCTGCGTTTCGCGCCCTTGGACCGCAGTGGCGATGGTGAACAAGAACGCCCATCAGCGCCAGTCTCACGGCATCAGTCGCCGCGGCCGCGTGAAGGGCCACAGAACCGTCGGGAGGGGTCGGCGCATGCCTGGACGCCAGCGCAGAGTGCGACACAAAATCTGGGATATGTCGATAGCAATAGCCAGACGGGGACCAGCATGGCCTCTGTCCATGATCCGCTGGCCGGCATCCCTGCCCAGCCGATCAATTCGTCCAACATCAATGTCTCGTTCATGCCCCCTCCACCATCGGTGTACTACAACTACTATGACCCCAGCGCAACTCCGCCGGCGGGCGAGCTGGATGGGTCTAATGTTCCGTCTCAGGCGATGCACGACAATCCGAGCACGTCCGGCGGATTGCCCGACTGGTTTGCGCTGCCACTCGACCAGTTTTTTAACAGTTCGACGGCTGTGGTGGACCAGGGTCTGGGAGGCACGGGCCCCATGGTGGGCGAATTCGACATGCTGGAGGTGCTTCTGAACGAACAGTATGACGGTCATGAGGGGATTGAGTCGGCTGGCGGAGGGAACCTTCCGTCCCAGTTTTTGCAATCGTGATCACCGATGGTCTCATGAATGTACGAATTCACGCGTAGTATTTTTTTTTTTCCTTTTCTTAGATTCTTGCTAGTTCCTTTCTGTACACTCCGGCTCTTGGCTTGTGATTTTGATTGTTAGACATGTATATCCCCGCGGATACCGCCGGAGTGCGCCATTTCTGGTTACATTCTCTTTCCCTTTCTGTCTCCATCGTGAGGAGGAACGCAGGATGAAGACACGGCTTCTCCATCGTGGCCCACC